TCCAGATCCCAAGCTAGCACCAGCACTGACTTGGTTATTGGCATTACTTAGGCCACCATTTGCCCAAACATTTCGAGAAGATGAGTTCATTAGAGAATCACTTCTCCCATTACCACTGTTATAGCCTATAGGAGTGGTATATCTGCTTGAGTTGCCACTGTAAAAAGGACCAATCACCCGACCATATCCGAGATTACTTCCATAATTTGAAGTCCCACCACCATATCCTGTGCTCAGTCCTGCATCCAGATTCAGTCCCATTCCATAACCGCTGGTGCCAAAGGGGGAAATTCCATTTCTACCACTTGCGAGAGGACTAAACCTACCATCCATCCTCATTCCATAGCCCCCAACTGGACTCATATTATAACTCTGTGCGTAACTGTTTAGGTAGCTACCGGCCCTATTAAAACCAAAATTAGTTCCTAACAACGGGCTTCGGTTGGATCCAGGGGAAAGCTCTTTTGGAACTGCCCTCTTGACCTCAACCATTTTTCCATTGAGTTCATGAAATGTTTTATAAAGAACTCTGTCCACAGCATCTTCTGAATCGTAAGTGATGAAGCCAAAGCCTCTTGGCCTCTGGGTATTGTGATCATACATTACTACAACATCGTTGATTGTGCCAAACTGATCAAAATACTTCTTAAATTCACTTTCAGTGATACTTGAAGGCAGGCCTCCTACAAAAATCTTTTTTGTGCGCCCAGGACCAAGAGAGCCATGTACACTGCCAGAAGTTCTATTTATCATCTGCTGATCATCTCTAGGAACAGCTTTCTTTGCTTCAACCTGAAAATTGAAAAGCCAGCATGTACGTCAATACTTGCCAGCCACTTTCATTAAACAGAAGTCCGTTCTCATCCAATGTACATAATAAATAATTCAAATCAGCCATCAAAGTGCAAGTCTTTAGCTCAGTCAAGCCAGAAAAAATTACAATTTCTGTCATCAACAGATTATAAATAAAGTACAAAGATCATGATGTCATTTGCAACAAAAACTTTAGTGCGCCTCATCACTGCATATATATATCCACAATGAACTAACTCACTGTGCGGCCATCAATCATGTGCTTATCCATAATGACTCGTTCTGCAACAGCTGGATCAGCAAACACTACAAAACCGAAACCACGAGCACGACCTGTTGTGCGATCTCTCATGATCACAGCCTCTATCACCTCTCCATATTTCCCAAAATATTCTTTGAGTCGTTCTTCATCAGTATCCCAAGAAATTCCTCCAATGAAAAGCTTGCCGAGATCTGATTCCATCTGTTATCCTGCCAAGCATGATCGTTTAGCTATCAATAACAGGTTTCTATACTAAGCTTGTACAAATTCAAACAAGCAATGATTTTGGGTCAAAATTATCTTGGTTCTCCAAGTAGCAGCCAAAATTCCACAAGGATGTCTGAATAATTAAATGATGGAGAAAAAAATCCGGAGTCGGAAACAATTTAATTTGTTTAACATATGATATATAATTAAGCTCACTCTAGCAAGAAAAAAACAATATTCACCTGCTTGATAAAGGCAAAGCGATCAAAAATGCAGATGAAGAAATTCTTAGAAGATACTCTTTAACTTTAAATTCAGACAGAACCCAGTTGGAGCTTCGATCAGAAACGAAGTAGGTTTTGTCAAAGTCGATCTAAGAGCATCAGATCTTTCGTGCATCAATCAAAAGAAGAATCAGATTATCTGGATTCAGAAGGAGGGGGAAAAAACAAAGCAAATGAATTTCTATGGATCAAAGACGAAACTCAAAAAGGTCAAGAGATCGATGACAAATGAAGCAAGCCCAGATATTAATTTACCATTTAAAGATAAGAAAAATCTGTGAAAAAACTTTCAATGTGGGGGGAAACTGAGAAGAAAAACAGAGGATGTACTCATCCTCTATCGAAAGCCTGTCCCTTGCTTTTTATCTCTTCGTTGGTGATACCACTGCCCCTCAATTAAATCAAAAGAAACATAAAATAACAGACAGAGAAATGGCAGCTAACATGAGAAGGAGACAACATATAAATAGAGAGAGAGAGAGACTGCAAATCCTCTGGTGCAAGAATATTTGGAGGAGTAAGGGGTACAGCGGATGACGATATTTTAAATTTTTTTTATATATATAAAAAGCATAGTCATCTATTAATGTTCAAAATAAATTAGATTTTTTTTTGCCAAAAAAAAACAGACAATTCTTATAAAAAAAATACTTATTATGCTGTATAACTCTAAAAAATATTTTAATAATTTTAAAAATTTGACTTTAATTGAAAACATTGAATAATTTGGGCACTATTGCATGATTGAAATCAGTTGCATTGATGTAAAAGAAAAAATTGTATTAAACTTAATGCTTCAATTATTCTACAGGTAAGACATGTAGTCTGTCTAGTGCTTATTATAGGATGTGTTACATGGATTTATTTGTCCAGAAAACATTCAAGTATTCCAATTATATTTCTATTCATTTTTTTAAATATCATTAAACTTTAGCTTAAATGACGTTACTACTATTAAAATTTTAGGGATAAAAAAGAAAAATTATTTGATATATTAATACAATACTTTATAAATTGGATTAATTTTATCTTTGAGAAGACACCGTATTCATAAAATTAGAGGGGTATTTACATTTGACAGCAAATTTGAAACAAATTTATTGGTCAAGTTGCGAGTTTTAATTGTTAGACTGAAGATTTAAATTCAGCATTAAAAAAAAAAAAAGAGAGAGAGAAGTATGGCACTTTAGCATCTACAGTCTCTCCCACATTTTCTTTTTTCCCTTGGATTTTTTTTTAGAATGACAGTTTGAGGCTAATATAGTAATTTAATTCCATTGTAAGACAGCGAATTGCTAAATTCAATTTAGAATCTTGCAAGCACAAATTATAAATCGTTGAGACTAAATTTTTCAATACTTCGAATTAAAAAGTGAAACATGAATCGCTAATTCTTTAAACACAAGTGTTAAAATTACAGATAATTGATGTCAAATCCTAAAAAATTTGATAATTTGTTTGTCTTATAATGAATTAAAATTGCTTCAGTGGTCTCAAATTGTCATCTCCCAAAAAACAATTTCATACACTACATGGCTCAATGTTATAACTTAAAGGAAAAAATGTATATACTTAAATTTATATGGTGTTTGTATTCAATTAAATTAAGACATGTGAATGTTTTATAGATTATTTTTTTATAATAAATTATTATTATTACTTAAATGAATGCATCAAAATCCACGTGTCATGATTTAATTTGATATAAGTATATTAAGTATATAAGGTTAAGTATATAATTCATCCATTTAAAAATATAAGATATTTTTAATTGAATTTCACCTTTCAATAAAGTAATTACTTATTTTTAAACTAACTTTATCTTTTTATTTTACTCCTATTAAACACTATATAATAAATATAAAATTATTTATCAATTAGGGTATTGTTAAAAAAGGATCATTATTACACCTCGAAAGACTAAAAATATTTTACATTTTTTAACATCTAACTTCTTAAAAAATATTTTACATTTTTAGACGGAGGGAGCAAGTCTTATCCTAACTTATAAATAGCATAATTTGTCAAAAATATATATTTTATAATGATACTTAAGTGTTTGATTTTGTTTTTTTGTAGCCGAAGTGCGAGCAACTAATTAAATATAGTTCATGTTTAAAATAAGTTTAACTAACTACTTGTTTTAATTTAAATTTTTTATTTATGTCTTTAAAATTTCAATGTTTAAATAAATGCTACCCGTTGAAAGAGGAATGTTAAAAACAAAGAATTATGTGCATAACAAACAAAAATAAAGCTTTGGAGGAGGTCGGTCAATAGTGATAATAAGATAGATTGATTAAAAGAAAAGTGTTTAATTCAAGTAATGAAGGACTTTAATAAGTTTATTTTAAAATTTATGAGTTTCAGTTTCAAATATGCAATTATGTTGAATAAAATATTTTTAGATGTTTTCAAAATATTCATAATCTTGTATTAGGATAAGATCGAGATATTTAACTTTAATATACTTTCATCAAATCAAATTAAATTAAAACAAGTATTTCCTTCGTTTAAGAATGTAAGACATTTTTTAAGGAGTTGAATGTTTAAAAATATAAGGTATTTTTAGTTTTTTGAGGTGTAATCATTATCTTTTTTTTAAAGTGTCCTATTGATAATGACTTTATATTTATCATAGGTTGTTTAATAGGGATAAATATAAAAAGGTAAGATTAGTTGAAAAGTAGGTAATTACGTTATTAGGGTGAGATTCAGTTAAAAACTGAATCTATAGGCCCAAAAATTCTTTCACAAAATAATCCATCTTTTTCAAGCTTATTGGTTTTGTAATGAAAAGTATAGGGTTTTGTTAGCTCCCCCTTATATTTTTTAACGGAGGGAGTAGATTTTAACATATTAATAATATTAATAATATTAATAATAAAAATTTATTAGAAAATACTCCTTCATCAAAAAATATAAGGTATTTTTTGAGAAGTTAGATGTTAAAAAAAGATGAAACATTTTTAATCTTTTGAGATATAATCATTGATTTTTCAAAAGTGCTCATATTAATAATAACTTTATATTTATTATAGGGTATTTAATATGAATAAATATAAAAAATAGAGTTAATTTGAAAGTAAGTAACTATTTTATTAATGATGAGATTTTATTAAAAATATCTTATATTTTTAAATGGAGAAAGTAAATACTTTATGAAAGATAGAAATGTTTTAATTTAATTAGAAGCAATCATATTAAATATACAAAATTAAGTATAATATCCTTTTAAATAAAATTGGATTTTTTACCTATATTTTTATATAATAATTGAGCGAAATTTAAGTATTGTTAGATTAATTAAAATTCATAATTTTGTTAATATTTGTTTTAAAAAAAAAACGTGGAACGGGAAAAATCTTCAACGTTAAATGCGCATGTGGCTCTCGGAAGTAAAATATTTATCTCAAAAGTGACGATGCCACCAGCTCCGACCACATTTTGGATTTAACAAACCATGGCCTTTTCGAAGATCGCTTCCGACAAAGAGGTTACCACTAAAGCAACCGTTGTTCGCATGGCTCAAGTTCCTGCACTCTCTGCTTCTCCTTCTGTCTGCCTTCTACGATTCGCCGGCGACTCTGCCTCCGGCGACTTGATGGGCTCCGTCTTTGGCTATTGTTCTCTCTCTCCCCGTCCCTGCGACTTACTGCCTTACTCCTACATACATTACTTAAATAGCTTGATTTTGAGTATTCTTCTAAAGCTGGGGAGCATTAGATGTTTAGATGAACCTAACGGAGAAAAAATTGCGTATTGAATAGCGTGTAAACTATAACTTTTGTCTTTAAGGACGAAGATAGCCTCTCCGATTATGGAAATTGTCGTTACCTTATTGCTGTGTCAGAATGTGGATGGACTTGAAGTAATGTTTCAGTAGCGGGAAATATTGGTTTCCATTGGTGGAAGGTTTCTATGAGGAACGATATATTGTTTGGGCTGCAAAGATTTGTAATCCTTTGGTAAAATGTACTCGAGAATAAGGAAACATGTTCGATTCAATTTTTAGGGGAAAGCTCTTGTGATTTGTTATAAACTTACAATTAATCCTTTTCCCCCTAATGATGTGTTGATTAGGACTTGAAGTTTTTCTGGATGCCCTCACTTAGTAAAAGGCTTACTCGGTATTAGCTACTCTGTAATTTGGATGAAAATGGATGTTGGTACATAATTTGCCAGCCGTGTGATGATTTTTGACAGGTGTTTTAGTTTTAAGTATGCATAATCCATTCCTGACTTGAGAATTCAATGATTTCTGAGGTAACGACTATAGGACCATTTTGAAGAAATCTGACTTTTGCTTACAGTACTACATTCAATCCTTATGATATTACTCAAGGATGCCTTTGTTGGGCATGTCTCAGATGCTGGATTGTTTAAGAAGAAAGGATTCAAAGGATCCTTTGTGGAAGCAGGATCTTATGCCAAGGTGCATTGGGGACCTTAGTCCTTTTCTTTTTTCTTCCAGCTACTTTAACTTTGTCTAGTCAGTTCACATTTGGATATATTTCTTTCTTTCTTTCTTTTTTAAACAGCTTGTAATCTTTTCTCTATGTACTAGTCATTTGCAGTTTTGTCGGGAGTGCACAGTTTGGTTGTCGCATCTTGAAAAGACTCAGAGGAAAGGATGATGGTATAAGCTTGTTTACCATGGAATTGTTACTTTTATTTCATAGTAACATATTTGTGATATTTGACTATTTCATCGTCAGACATTAATGCTGGGGTAGCTGGATGCTGTACTGGTCTTGCTTTAAGTTTTCCAGGTATCAATGTTTCTTTTGCCTTTTCTGAATGATGCTGTAAATAGCCCTCCTCATCCTTACATGCACACATGCAATTAACTCTCCAATCATATACATCAAACCACATCTTATTGGCAAAGCATTGAGACTGAGTGCGTTTGTGCGTGTTAAATATAGATAAATCCAATCATATGCATTAAATCACATCTTATTGGCAAAGCATTGAGACTGAGAGTGCGTTTGTGCGTATTAAATATGGATAACTGAAATAAAGAGATAAGGAGAGAGAGAAATGGACGCAGTTGACTTATCCTGACTGGGAAGTCGAGAGATTCTTTGAGATGTAAATGTTACCCCATTAAATGACGCAAAATAGAGAGAAAAAACTTCGTCGACTAAGACCACCTGATTCTTCTGAAAATCAATATAATGCATAGTTAAATACAGATGAAAGTTGTATTTTTCCCAGTTATTTTTGCAATCTTGATTTATTCTCTAGGATTTTCCAGGTGCACCACATGAACTTCTTCAGAGCTGCCTTACTTTTGGGGCCTTTTCTTTTATCGTTGAAGGGCTAAACAAGCAACAGCCAGCCCTTGCTCATGCCATCTCCAGTAAAACAAGTGTGCACTACCCCACACGTCCTCCTCCCTTGGCACTTTCTCTCCAACTTTCCCTTCCAAATGAACTAAAAGGAGCCTTTTCTTTTTTTCTGCAAGTCTCCGAAACATCACAGTAAGGGCACTTTTCCCACATCTCAACGATAAATCATAGTTTTGGGGGTTTTTTAGCAACATGTGAATAAGACACGTTCTCTCTTTTTAGTTGGTGTTAACTAAACCATGTTAATAATTTTCTAACAACTTAGGTTTACTTCTTGTTGAATCTGGAATTACTTCTGATGAGATGGTTGATCTGGATTTGTGCTGAATTGGAGCTCGAATCGCTTGAATTGGTTACATTGAGTACTTTCTAGATGATTTGAACAATGACGCGACTCGAAGGCTTGTTGAGCAGCCGATTAAAAGACAATTATGCAATGCAAAATTGTGACATTTTGTCTTCATGAGTATTAAAAATGAGATTAAATTATGGAGGCTATATTTTGAAACTTGCGGTGGTTGAGCAACACGAATATGTTAATGCAATATTTGGTAATAGAAAGATGTTTTCTGGAAAAGAAATGAAAAATACACCTATTTCATTTTTTAGTTATATTTTTTTTTATTTCTTTTCTAAAAAATACTTTTTTGTGCACCAAGGATGAAGCAAGTTTTCCAAGCACCTCCATTTATAAATGAGAATTTTCTGTGGCTTTCAAGAAATAATAATAAAAAAAGTGTTTGTTAAATACTGATATTTTAGATAAAATATATTTTGTACTGGTACATTTATTGATTTTTGAGAAAGATTTTTGGGAAAATTATTAATTAGTACCTTTAATCTACACTCGTTAAGTTCTTATACATTTAATTCTTGTGGCGTGATATGCACTCGTTAAGTCTTTACTTTCCTTTCGTAACCACTTTTGAAAATAATGATTCCAAACGAATGTAATTTTGAGCACATAATTAAAAACTAAAAATAAAGTAATCGCCCACGGTCGAAGTATTATATGAATAAAATAATCTGCAGGTGGCCTTTCTCAGCCCAAAAGCTACTCTCTTCTCTTTTTTTTTTTTCCCCCTTGAGTTGATTGCCAAACATTACTTTTCAATTTCAACACTTGTTAAAACAACTTTTAAAAGCATCTTTGGATAAATCCTCTCAAATTAACAAAAATAGCAAAACAAACTATATAGAATCTCTGAGAACAGAAACATTTATTTTCGACTTAGTCAAGCAGAAACCAGAGAACAATATTTAATTTATTCTCACATAAGAGACTTCGTAAGTTAGAAATGGGACCGCTTGAACTTGCATGAAGGCTTTTGTGAATGCATGTGCATAACTATAAGGTGTGCTTAATTATAAATTATGCTGAGAAAGTTTTTTTATTAGAGCCCAACCTGACATGAATCTGGACTATTCACACTATAATGATTTGTTAAAAAGAAATAAAGAAAAAATATCAATTAAAATTGTTGAAAGAAATTTATATTAATTAAGGACTATTTATTGTCAAAATCTAAATTGATTATTTAAGTTAGTCTTTTACCAATAAATATTTATTCAAATTTTAACAACTTATTTTAAGTTAAAAATCCATTTGAGTTTGTTTTTCATTGAGTTTTAACAACTGATATTTGACCGATATAAATTTTTTCAGTTGTCCTTAATTGCTATTTTCCGAGAAACAAATTTTTATACCCATGTGATCCAAAAAGATTCTATCTAAATTAGTTGTGACTTCTCGAAATCAATTGGTATTAGGAGGAAAAAAGGAACTTCAAAAATTTATAGATAGTGAAATACATATAATTGTGTGTTTCAATTAAAGTTAAAGAAATCCTGGTTTACCCAAGTTGCAATGCAACCACACAAAAATTGGGTGAAAAATCAAAATCTAATATGTTATTAGAAGGATGGTATCCCATAAAAGGAACAAACAGAAAGCTAAATAAAATAACAGTCTTTACAGCCAAAGCATAAGCTCTAAAATGTTTCAATTCTGAGACATACCCACTTGCTTGAACCAATCAACTTTTGTTCATATTTCAATAATATGCATATTATTTGCCCTAAACAGCAAGCCAAATAACATAATAAAAGTCTACGCTGACTAAGCATAGGCTCTAAAATATTTCATTTAACAAACCCACTTATTTGAACCAATCAACTTTTGTCCATTTCCAATCATATGCATTATCAGCACTAAGCATTTGGAAAAAAAAAAAAAAAAGCCAAACAGGAGAAGAAGAGACTGACTAATTATAGATTCATCAATCAGACAATGACTATGAAAACTGTAAAAACTTGTATGACAATCTGTCTAAGAAAGAATTATAAAACTGTTTAGCAACTTAATTATTTGATGGGGATCCTAAACTGCAAATCCCTCCCATGTTTCACACTTGATAAATCAAACTAAACCTCACTTACAACTTGGTATGAGAAAAAAAACATATTTCAGAAGAACGTGGTGACACGAACAACACCTCTGCCGCACATTACAGTGGGCAAAAGAAAAAAAAGCTTAACAATCATTAATCTATCACTAAACATACTAATGCTGATACGCGTTGCTGGAGATGCACTACTACACTATGGGAACCAATCTTCATGAGTATATCCCGCAATCTGATTTTACAGCTCAATCAAATTCCAAGAAAGGAAGCCTAAGTCTTGAAAAAATAACAAGAGAACCCAAAAAAAGAAAAAGAAAAAAAAATCCCAAACCTTACATAAAATTTGTAAACTGCTTTCTTTGAACATGTATACTTCAAATGAAAGAACACCGTTAGCTATATATATATATGATGATATCCATATAAGCTGAAAATGTAAGAATTCACAAAACCTCTTTTTCCTGACCAGTTTCACTTGATCTACTGTTTCCATGATAAACCGAATTAACACATCTCCTCTAGGCAGCAATTCCTGGAGAAAGTGGGAAGACGAGATGAGAAAGTGAATAAAACTCATTGGACTGAGTCAAAATAACATCCCAAAACATTTGACATATTTAAGGAATGCAAATCCCAAAATGTCAACCATTTTATAGCGATCTGATAGGCAAAGTTATGCAAATGGTCCGGTCCTTCTTCATTGGATGACCACATAAATGAATTGAATGGTCAAATTTGATATTAAAATCACAATGCTTCATTAACACGAAATCAGTTGTACACTTTCTTGAAAATAACAATGAATTATTTTCAGGAAATATCCAATTTCATCATACTGTAAGATAAAGAAAATCAGCAATGCTAGGAGGAGCATGCAGAGGAAGAAGTAGGCTATACTTATACTCAAATTGCAGCAAACTCTTAAAAAAAGACTATATGATAATCCATTTCAAATAATCAACAACAACAACAACAACAACAAGCCTTTATCCCACTAGGTGGGGTCGGCTACATGGATTGCAAGACGCCATTGTGCTCTATCATTTATTAAGCTTTTAGAAATATTATTAATTAAGAGATCACGTTCAACAACTTCCAAGAGTGTTCTCTTAGGCCTTCCTCTACCTCTCTTAATCGGACTCAAAGTTATATGTTCCACTCTTCTCACTGGTGCCTCCCTTGGTCTTCTTTGTACATGCCCAAACCATCTCAACCGATTTTCTACCATTTTTTCCTCAATAGGTGCCACCCTCACTTTTTCACGTATGTGCTCATTTCGAATTTTATCTTTACGTGTATGTCCGCACATCCATCGTAACATTCTCATCTCTGCTACTCCAACTTTATGCTCTTGCTGTCCTGTTAGAGCCCAGCATTCACTACTATATAACATTGTCGGTCTGATAGCAGTACGATAAAACTTTCCTTTAAGTTTATTAGGCACCTTACGGTCACAAATAACTCCTTTAGCTTTTCTCCAATTCAAATAATCAATGAAAACAATTACATTATTAAAAGTTTCTTGTGGCTTGTCAGCATTGATATCCATGGGGGAAATAAAGATGAGGAACCTAGAATAATGGGCATAAAGAGATATCTTTTCCCCCAAATGATGTTTGGGAGAGATACTCATCTTTCTAATATTTAAACCTTCTTGTGAAAAAATAATGAAGCAATAAACGATTAAGTTCCATGAGTCCAATAAAATGTGTGGACGGATATTGGAAGAATAAAAAAAGTTATTAAGAACTTGAGAGGAGTTGTCGCTGTTTATAGCTTGTAAACAGTGCAGCTCATTCTAGATTTAAAATTTTAGATTGATTGATATTGATTGAAGGAAAACACTAGTGAAGCTGCTTGTGTCCTTAACAATTTATCACACAAATTCGCTGATCCAAATTTAAGAACAGACTATTGTAACCACAAATGAGTAAATCCTTAATAACCATATTTTCTTTTTAACTTCTTTTTAAACAATTCATTTTCTGATATGCAAAGCCTTAATATGTGTTAGGGGTGGCATGTTGCTTCTACCATAGCATGGTTTTGGGTGGCATTCCATCCTTAATCTCACATTTAGATACCATAAAAAAATCATATTAATAAACTATAATCAGATTTCTTTATGAGATAAGGTCACTTGATGTATCCAAAGGTCTTACCTCTATTAGGCTGTCTGCTTGAAACATTGTAGCTTCCAATATAACCCTCTGAAGTCTTTACTGGGTCCTCTGAGGCTATACCACCAAGTCCATAACTGAATGAACCAGAACCATCTGGATCAGAAGCGGCAGATCGCCAAGCTGAGTCACTGTAAACTGAACTATTGTGGTATAAATCCCCATAGGATCCTTCATAACCACCAGCTGATGTAGAAAATGTAGAAGATGAATTTACACCTATATTACCACTTCTTCCATACCCTGTACCTCCTAACCCAAAACTGTTGTCGCCACCTTCATAAACATTAATCCCAGTGGTGTAACCGGAAGCAGCCACTCCACCCTGCGTTGGAAAGGATTGACCCCAATTTGTGCCACTATTTTTAATTGAAACACCAAAAGGACCACCTCCAGATCCCAAGCTAGCACCAGCACTGACTTGGTTATTGGCATTACTTAAGCCACCATTTCCCCAGACATTTCGAGAAGATGAGCTCATTAGAGAATCACTTCTCCCATTACCACTATTATAGCCTATAGGAGTGGTATATCTGCTTGAGTTACCACTGTAAAAAGGACCAATCACCCGACCATATCCGAGATTACTTCCATAATTTGAAGTCCCGCCACCATATCCTGCACTCAGTCCTGCGTCCAGATTCAGTCCCATTCCATAACCGCTGGTGCCAAAGGGGGAAATTCCACTTCTACTACTTGTAAGAGGACTAAACCTACCATCCATCCTCACTCCATAGCCC